AAGTGGGGGGGATGGCTTCAGGGTTCTTAAGAACTAAAGGTAGAAGTTGTAGCTGACATGTCCAAGCAGTGGCCCCAGAGACTTTTCTGGCCTCTCATGTCGTCTCTTCGTTAAATGGCCAAATCATCCTACTAGAAGGCTTCATTTTATAAGATACGAACTCATTGCTTTAGTGAGTTTAATCCAAAACACTCAAGTCAGTACATTTGATTTTAAATTCTTATAAAAATGTTCCTTCTTGTTCCCGCCTGACCTTTTTCTTATTAGATTGATTTATTGGCACCTACTGTCACTCTCAAGTTTTCAACTGTGTTTTCTACTCTTTCAGATCCCAGGCACACACTTTGGAGAGCATTTAGAAAAGTCTAGAATTTATTCCAGAAGCTATAAGGCAGTGACACGAGCACTGCCTTCCAGTCATACTTGTAGCCTAGATTTCTGGGGAGTGGCACTCAAGGGGCCACATTTAATGAACTCTGAATACACTAGAACAGTGCACTGGGCCAGGCCGCACCTGTCTGAGCGGTACCTGAGGACCCCGGTTCCATCCCTCAATTCCTCACCGCCTGAGCCACAGCCCTCAGCCAAGAAACAAGAACCTGGCATCAGATTCTGTGCTGTGGGATAAGCCAGGACACCTGGCTTTTGTACTCTTTTTCCTTTTTTTAATTTTTAAGTTTTTATTTAAATTCCAGTGAACATACAGTGTAATATTAAATTCAGGTGCATATTGTATTTTTGTTTGTGGGATGAATGTGCTACTCAGAAATCAGTAAAGATTAGCATGATTATTACCACTTGGCTTCAGCCTCATCATAAACAAGTGTGTTATTTCCCTAGGACGCAAGACAGTTCAAATTAAGATTGGTACAGCAAACGCATATTCACTCTCCACTCTGTCTAAGGCACTGATCTGCCATAGGGATCAAAGAAATCTTGGCATGACTAATATGAGAATCCAATCCCTGATTTCCAGGAGCTGGCACTTTCTGGAGAATGGAAGAGGGTTGGAACTTATTTTCAGAGCACTTTATGTGAAACATGGAGATGATGTTTATATCGGTTTCAAAATATGTCAATCACTAAAAAAGAAAAAGAAGACTGGGCCACCCAAAGCCCTGCAGAGCTTAAAAATTAGATGTTGCTCACTGTGTGATTGACCTCAATCAAAATAGGATGTAAAAAGCTATCTATTGCTGCCAAGATTTAAATCACTTTTCCAAAATGGGTTTGCCAAAACAAAAGGAGGTGTTTTCTACAGCAATGTGCTGAACAATCCCAAGTAATCACGGTATTTTTTTTTTTTTTTTTTTAGGTCTCTGCAGCTATCTGCTTCTCTTATGATAGCGAAGCATAATGAACAGTCCAAAGGCAGAAATAGCAACACTCACCTTATCATGCCAAGGGATGTCATATTCTTTCTATAAACAATACGGTGCAAAGGTTCAGGAAGAGTGAGAAATCTGACCTGCGGCGATTTTTCCACGACTCATCATTTTGGATAGTTACAAGAAATCAAGAGAAGGGATTTTCTTGCCTAATTATTTCTAACCTTAAGTTCAGGGATTTAGTCTTTCTCAAGATTAGAAGGCACGAAACACATCCTGAGGAAAGGGTGCAGTACATTTTCTGCAAATACTGTCCAGGCGCTGTGAACTCCCTCCCTTTATTTAGGATATCAGAGGAAGGAGCAGGACAGGGGAGGAGGCTCAGTCCGCTCAGCTCAGAGTAGGTGCTTCCAAAAGCACTTCTATGTCGCTGCCGTGGGGACCAGGACGATAGCCATTCCGATGATGGAGCTCAGTCTGACTGCAGACCACAAACAGCCCAAGTCTCAGCCAGTGGCCTCGGGATCCCAGAGAGTTATAAATAACCCCTCAGAACTGCTTTCTGGTGATTTATTACTACAAACTGAGAGAGTGCCTTTCCCCAAAGACCGAAAATTAATGCAAAAAGGACACAAGAAGCGTGTATTTTGGTGCACTTCACACATCAGAGAAATAGTTCCAAAACCTCCAGAAGGGATAAATAGGCTGATCGTCAAGTTTTTACCTATGAAAATCTGATCTCTCCTATTTAGGATTTTGTGCACTCTGGGAGCTTATTTCCCAGCGGCAGAGCCTGTGCTCTGATATGTGGACACCTTGATGAGATGCCGGCCTAGAGATCGGCTCCCACTCAGACAGGTGGCACGTGGTGCAGGAGAGCCCCCAACAAAAGTGACACAGAATCAGTGACTGCTCCCCCACCCCTCACCCCGCACCGCCTCGCAGGGGCACCACCTGTGCTTGGAGTCCTCCGGAAAAGGGGTTTCCACCCTCTCCCACCATCCACTACTTCTGAGCTTGAAACATTAAAATAAAGTACTTCTAAATTTATGTATAAACTCAAATGGTAATTAAGGCCCTTTTCTCCCCTGTATCTTGTCCTCAGTGGATATAGAGGCCAGCTGCTTACTATCTGTGGGAGGGAAGTCCAAAATAGTTACTAGAATTTGCAATTATCTTTCATTGTCCTCAGAATACCCCTCTCTCTCTGATGCTTGTCTATTTCTGTACTTCCAGTTCCCCTCGGAGGGAGTGTTTGCTGTAAGATCTTTGGCAATCCATTTAACCTCTTTGTGCCTCAGTGGTCCATCGGGAAATAGGGAGTTGCACAGGATGATCTCAGGATCCCTGGCAATGCTACCTTGCTATGATTCAATGACCTCACCGGTCCTTCATATTCCGAGGAGTATTTTTCAGTGCATTATTGGAAATCATTGAGTCACACTGGAATGGCAATTACAAGATGAGGTTGGAGTATGATGATACCTCCTGAAAAAAGATTGGTCTGAGGAATGTGGATGAAGAATGCAATGAGGTGTGGGAAGGGAAAGTGTAATCCGAGTGAGGACATGACATATCCTTTGCTAACGGGCAACATTAGGCAAATTCCCAGTGCTTGATGAATGGCCGTGTGCAATCAGAAATAGGACTCTTCCCAGAAAAGGCTGCCTATCATATCTTTGGCAGAAGCCTCAGAATAAGTGAGTCTGATGCTTTGCACAGGCCCTGGGGTGAGTCAGCACTGATTGGGGTCCTGACAAGCATGGCAGCCGATATTGACGACGTGAATGCTTAGACCTGTTAGGCTAATGACCACGAGGACACGTTCCAGAAGGCTTGCTTTAGACACCCATGAACAAAATGTCTTCCTAAAGCTACACCCTGAAACCCTCATTGGAAAAGCCTGAAGTGAGGGTCTTGTCGGTGCAACATCCTAGGGGTGGGTCCCCCTACCTTTAATGTAGGTCGCAGGAGCCGCAGTCGTCGCCGGGAAAAGGACACAGGCAATTCCCAGCAGATAAGCAAATCCAAAGCCAAAAAGGACTACAGCCTTTGACATTTTCTTTTAAAAGTCTCAGCTCAGGCTTAGGGGAAATACAGTATGGATGGCCTGAGGCAGGTGAATTATCCTGGACTGCCCCTCACCCTCCATGCACAAGCAATGGGAAGGAGGTTCTCCTGGGGTCTGCCTCTCTGGAACGCCCTGCTGAGCAGACTGGCCACACCAGGGGCACCAGAGGAGTCTTCCTCCCTTGACCTGACCTGGGGCAGGTTTCCCAGGTTCTCCACAATCAGGCTGAGCCTCCAGGACACCAGGGGAATCTCAGATCTCTCAAGGCAACCAGGGCTCAGGGGGGCTCAGAGGGCCAGGGGCTTAGAATACCCTGGACAGTGTAGAGCACATTCTCCCAATTCCCACATGTATAAAAAAGCATCACTCGCTGGATGAGCTTTTAAATATATATGCTATTATTTACAAAAGGCTGCTCATAACATGTTAAAAAAAATAAACTCTAAAGGTCCCTCGTGATTTAAATGAAACTCTCTCCGTTATGCTAAATACCCCTTTGCCTGGCCATAGTTCTACTTCTCAGAAGCAACCTTTTTTTTTAGGTCAGAGAGAGAGCACAAGCAGGGGGAGGGGCAGAGGGAGAAGCAGACTCCCCGCTGAGCAGGGAGCCCAATGCGGGACTCCATCCCAGCACCCTGGGTCATGACCTGAGCTGAAGGCAGACGCTTAACCGACTGAGCCACCCAGTTGTTCCAGAAGCAACCATTTTTAAACAGTTTTGGTTTGAGGTCTTCTATACCACAGAACTAATCCGTATGTGTGTGTCTGTGTTTCTGGTCTTATCAACATCAAATAATACATATCCGCTTCCTATGAGGAAAGGTGTGTGCATTTAACACACTTTATACTCTGAGCTCACCTGCATTTCACCTGTTAATGTCACTAATTTTTGTTAGTGACATTAACATTTTGAGATCTTGAGTGGGTACATGCATCACTTTAAATAATCTGCCTCAATCCTTGCTCTTGATTCATTGCCTTCTGGCATCATGGGCCCACTCCCCGTGCTGTAAGATGAGGAAAGTAGATCCCCACAGGCTAGCCTCTGGCTCACCCTTTCCTCTTCCTGACTTGTCAGCTGATTAACATCATCATCCAGGCTTGAACCTCTGTACTGTTCTGTCATTTTAAGTTAGTTTTCTGTACTTTGTAGCTCAACTTTAAAAACTGAAAGCCAGTGAGAGACATTCATAATATTAAGATTATATAAATACTAATTGCAGAACCAAGTAGCTTGGGGATGCCTGGGTGGCTCAGTGGGTTAAGCATCTGCCTTAGGCTCAGGTCATGATCCCAGGGTCCTGGGATCGAGTCCCACATTGGCCTCCTTGCTCAGAGGGAAGCCTGCTTCTCCCTCTGCCTGCCACTCCCCCAGCTTGTGTGCTCTCTCTCTCTCTCTGGCAAATCAATCAAGAATTTTTTTTTTTTTTTTAAAGAACCAAGTGGTATGTAAGGCCCATAAAGATAGAAATGTGACTTTATGTCACCAAAAATATCCATCCAAAAAATAATGGAAAAATGCATTCCCTTTATTTACACTCTTTCTCTTTTTCCAAGTCATGTCACACTTCAGTTCGTTTCATCTTATCAACACTTCTGAATAGTTTTAGTTCCCTTTATTCAAATGGAGAGGATAAACATAGGTGGACCTTTTGACAGATTGAACATCTTCCAGATTGTTACACATTTTATTAATCAGTGTTCATCAATCACCACCCCCTGTCTACTGTGTTCTACTTTGGGCCAACTGCTTTCTAGGTCCATTTGCTGCTGATCATTTGAAATTTCTTTTCATTTTGTTCCTCAGCAGTTCTGCTGTTTGATAGATTTGTTTTTCCTTCTCCTAAGGTATATCCCAAGTCACCCAGGGAAAAGTAAACAGGAGAAACTTCCTGAGTCATTGGCTCATTTTGCCTGGATCTTTGAGTAACAGGCTAGCTGGCTATAACATTTAGGTTCAAAATAATGTTTCCTGAGAACTTTGAAATCTTGCTCTCCTGTCTTCCAAAATCAGTATTATTAATGGAAAATGTATGATGACAACCTTAGGCTTGTATTTGTGGTTTTGGGGGGGTTGGGGGGCGGAGCTTGCAGGTATCCTGGTAATTCTCTCTGCAAGCTTTATGTTAGGAATTTTTAAATTTCAGCAGAATAGTTCCAGGCACATGGTGAATGTTTTTCATCGGAAAGTTTTTTAGTTCAGAGATACTCATTTTTATCATTTATTTGCTTCTCTACCTCTGTTCTCTCACCTCAGATGAATTACATTATTATCAGCTTTCTGGATCTACCCTCCATCTCGACTTCTTTCTTATATTTTCCCTTTCTGTCATTCTCTGCATCCTGAGCTACTCTCTCAACTTGACCTTCCAGATTAGTACGTTAGCTGTCAGCCAAACCAATGATTCAATTCTTTTGATTTTTCATTTTATTTGGGGAGCCAATGTTTAATTTTCAAGGCCTCTCTCATGTCCCTGGCTCCCTCCTTCTGCATAGCCGTGCGCTGTGGTGACTAACATGCTGGGCGCTCAAATCTCTGGGACGAATTCAGTGTTCAACATCTTCTTTGATCTTTTTCTCCCCGGGTGAGTTGCTCTTTCACCAAATTGTTCATGATCCTTGACTGACCAGTAATAATGCTGAATAAAAAGCGTACTGGTTGATTATTATAGGTAGTCGGCAAAGTTATTTTCTGTGGTTTGGAAGAGCAGTTTACCTGTACCACCCCTCCCTGGATGGGGGGCTAACCCTACATTTCCGTGTGGGCAGGTCAGAGGCAGGCTTCTTTGGAGGCAGCGTGCACGGCTCAGTGTGCACCCTCCCAAGGAGCAATGGAAGGAGGACTTTCTTTACCTGAGCGGCGAAATGCTTTAGGGGATGTCTCTCCTGGGCGGAGCTGCCTTTCCTTCTACCTCCTCCGAGCTGCAAGTGAGGGTCCTCTAATTCCTTGACACTCCAAGTACAAGCAGGCCCACCCGGACCTACTGGATCTCCATCTGCATGTGAACCAGAGACCTCGGGGACTGCGCAGCACCGCTAGGCACGCTCCGAAGCTCGGCTCCCGGAAGTCCCCGAAGTCCCCGTCCCCGCCCCCTCAGCGCCGGCTCGCGCTCGGGGGCCCCCTCGGAGCCGGCACTGCCGCGGCGCGGCCAGGAGGAGGGGCTCTACGCGCTCTCGGCTTCCTCCGCGCGGGCGCCAGGCTGTCCGTCACTAGGAGCCACTTTCCCTTTTGGGTATGTAGTTCCTACGCGTGAAAGACCATAGCAAACACCCGAGCACCCATCACCCAGCTCAGAAATAAAACTCAACAGATATGATTGAAGCCGTCGTGCATCCCCTCTGAGTGCTTTCCTGAGCAGCCCTGAGTCCGGCAGGCAGGGGACCCGGGGCCTTGCAGCCACCCAGGCCCTGCTCTGCCGGACCCTGTCGTCGCGCCGGCACAGACCCACAGGGCACCCTAAGCTGACGCGGGGCCTGAGACCGTGTGGGACGGCCTGGGAGGGGAAGGTCTTGGAACTAAGCCCCGCACACACACCCCAAGCCGGGTAGCTAGAACAAACGAAAAAAGGCCCCGTGGGGTGCTAAGACATCAAAGCCACTGGTGTTCACAACTGAGAACTGGGCCGGTGTTGGCGTGAGGAAGAACAGCATCTGGTCAAACAGACGTTAATGAGACTGCCACATGTGCCCGGGAGAAGCTTCTGAAGATCCAAAGAGGCACAGAGGAGGGAAACGGCATCCAGAATGTCTGTCTGTCAGTAGGAAGCAGTCCCCTCCACAAGACAGGATCCAGAGCCCAGACAAGAAGGGACAGGAGCAGGGCCAACTCCATGTCCTAGAGAACAGTCTTGGGGGGGACTCGAGGGGGGTATTGAGGCACAGGGAGCAAAGACCTTCAGTCACCAGAATGTGGAATCAAGACGTGGCTTAGGTCTCAGAAATAAGGATGAGCTTGGGCTAGACCACGTACAAGAACAAAGATGTGGGTTCTTAGAGACTAGGAGCTGCTCAAATTCCTCCTACTGACTCTTGGAATTGATCCTAGATTTAACTAATGAAGACTCCGGGACCTGAGCTGAAGAACAGGCAGGTGAGAAAAGGAGAGGCGAGGGGAGGGAGAAGCTAAGAACCAGATATGATCCAATACCATTGCTTGACCTCAAAAGGGCTTATGTTTTTCAGCATTTGTGAACAAGCCAACATATCCGAAAACCTACACAAACAGTGAAGACTATTTTGTCCCCCCTCCGACCCAACCCCTATCCCCATACACCATGCTACAAATACCCCAGAGCACCAGGAAGACTTCATTCCATTCCTGGAAATTGTTTTGCGCACCTTCTGTGTGCCAGGCACTGTGCTGGGAATGGAGACTTTGGGGGGATTAGCACCTGCCTGGGCCTTCAGGCAATTCCTGTCCAGCTGGGCAGTCAGCCATGCAAACAGATGGTTTCAGTTGGTGTAGGAAGGGCTGTGCCTGAGGAGTTCCTGGCTTGCATGGATGAGTGGGGCAGGGGGGAGGGGGAGAGGGAGGGAGACATAGAGAGGAGACCCAACACGATGTATTCCATGAATCATAAGTATGTGGCTGCTTCTGGAGCAGAACCCAAGGCAAGTGTGAGGTAATCAGAGATCGTGGTTTTGGATACTGAGAGCCAGCCCTGGGTTCAAATCCTTCCTCTGCCCCATACCATTCGTGTGACCTTGAGCATGCTACTTTAATCTCTGTAAACCTCGCTTTTCTCCTCTGATCATTAGGGGATCCAGAAAAAAGCCATGAGAAATACCTTTATTACTTTGCATAAAGTCCATACCCCTAAGAGGATAGGGATAAAGAGGAATAAAGGATAATTGAAGAAGAAGACCTATGTCATACTGGCTACTAAAATTGCTTAACATTTATTCTTTTAGGATTAGTGGGTTGTAAGCCTCATGAGAGACAGACACGAAAAATTGGAATTGATTAGACTCCAGAGTAGAAATGGATCAAACTATTCCCACTTCTTGCTTCAGGTTTCCTCCAAAAGTAGTCATTATTTTAATTTTCTTTGTCCTTGTACAGATGTATTTAGTGGGACCTACCATATAGGCCTGCTCTGACAAATTCCATGTATATTTATCATTTACATTCATATATATATATATTTAAAAATGAAAAAAAATGATTATCTGTAAATTCCCAAGAATTCAATCAAAATGATGAAAAAAATCTAGAGTGAAGACAACAACAGAGAAGGAGCCTTACAATTATTTGGCTTCCTTTTTGTGCCTTCCTGCTCAGAAGTCTCTTCTTTGACTTCACAGTGAAAATAGACATCCTCTCTGACAATGAATAAAAGTACGAACTACTGAGAATAAGGTAGAGAAAACCCACGGAGCCAAGATATGGCTGGATTTTATGCCGGCACATCTGCTCACTGCATTGGACTGATTCTCTGCAGCCAGGAATGGACCATAACAGCTTCTCCACCGGCCAAGGTCAGTGTTTAATGGTGATGGTTTTGATTTCAGTGAAAAATTCATAAGAGTCCTTGGCTCCTTCTCGACCTACCCCAGAACTCTTCATCCCCCCAAAAGGCAGGTTGAGCTCTCTGATGAGCCAGCAGTTGGTCCAGACCAAGCCTGACTGCAACTTCTTAGCCACCCGGTGGATACGGCCCACATTGCTGGACCACACTGTGGCTGCCAGTCCGTATTTAACGCTGTTGGCTCTTTGAATCACTTCCTCTTCACTATCAAAGGGGACAACACATGTCACTGGCCCAAATATCTCTTCCTTCATGCAGCAAGATTCATCCTTAATGTCTGTTATCACTGTGGGAAGCATAAAGTATCCTGCTTGATTCCTGCGGGGGAGGCTCAATGTGTCCACCCCCTCACCACACAGAATCTGGGCCCCTTCCATCCGGGCTTTTTTGATGTAACTTCTGACCTGGGTGGGTGAAAACCATGATTAGCAACATCTTACCATTTGACTTGACACAAAACAGCAGAAAATTCAATATTTTTGAATCATCTAGGAAATATGTAGAAGGCCTTTGCTAAGAAATCTAAAGTTGGTTATCTTATTGCTCAACTGCTAAGCCTGAGGGCAGAAGTGCTCTGACCATCATTTGGGCATCCAGCCCTCATACAGAAGAGGAGAGTAATTTCTTTACTATCTAAGTTCCAGCCACATAGATAAATGCTTTTCATACATTCTCATTTAATTCTCTCAAAACTGTATTAGCTACATATTATTATCCCCTATTTGCTGATGATAAAATTGAGCCTCATAAAGGGTAGATGGTTCATACAATGAATAAACAGGAAAGCTAGAATTCACACTCAGGTATATTCAGTAGTTAAATACACAAAAGAATAGTTCCTCACTTTTGGGGGGGCTCTGTCCCTTGCAGAACATGGGAAGTTGAATGGTGCATAAGATTTCATGAAAGGCCTAGAGGCCCTTCAATAGCTAGGCTTCTAGCTATTCAGAAATGATTCAGAACAAATCATTTCTAACTTCTAGTCTCACTACTGATTATGTTCTGAAAATACATCTAGTTAATACAGAATAGCTAACTATAATGGGAATTAAATTATGTAAAAAGTAAACCCAATAACTCGGAGACAGTGACAGATGTTTATTAAACAATGGTTGTAGAAATGACCTATTATAAAATGATACGTACGTTTATATATGGAAATTTTGTTGCAGTCACAATGATACCTTATCCTACCCCTGAGGGGTATTATAAGTATAGGAGAAGTAGAAAAGTCATCCCAAAAATTAGAAGTATAGAACAACAGTTAAGCAGTACATCAAAGGCAGGGTAAATTTTGAAGTCATACTTTGGATCCCTGCTTATCAAATATTTATCTGAGCATTCTGCCCCAGGATTAGGTAAGTACTCCATTGTAGAACTATATTCAATGTAGAGCTATGTGTTTTCCATGTAAAAATAAAAAAGTAATGTTGTTTTATTATTGATTTTATTCTAATTTATAGAACACTTAATAAGCCGTGAAGTCAAAGACTTCTAAAAAATATATTATTTGGAACAGCTTCGTATTCCGCTCTGTTATACATTTTCCCCCAACATGCCCAATGATCTCAAAGCTCTCCCAGAAAAGCCCTAGTCTAGTTTGTGGGTAGAGAGTAAATTAGGTCTGGACTTCTCTTTCCCCTATTCTCTTACTCCTCTTGAAACAACGCACTCAGATTAATTAAAAGATGCCAAAGGCAGCATAGCGCGTGAACAGGGAAGTCGAGGCAAAGATCTCCAGGGGCGCCTGCTGAACACAGGACCAGAACTTTTTTCCGTGATTCAAACATGGAGTGGCTTTAGATGATCTCATCTATATGGAATCTCATGATTATCTCTTAGAGACTCTTGGATAATAAAATATGAAGGAAAGTGTCAGTTTTCAAATTGTGAACTTTTCAAAATTTTTAACGTATAAGATGACTCACACTAAACTAAATTTATTTTCTGGATGATAGAATGATATCTATACTAGCAGCTCAGGAACTGAGATTTTCAGGAAAATATGGAAAAAAGGAAATGTTATGACTGGTAATATGCCCTAAAATGTAATAAATTATTACTACAAAACTTTCTCTGAGAGCAGAGAGCAGTTAGTACTTCATAGCTTTGCCCCTAAAATCTGAGCACAGAGGTCAGATGGGCGGGCAGGGGAGCCCAAGTGTTCAAATCCCAGAGCCTCCACTTGCTCACTGAGGGATTTTCGATGCTCAGTTTCCCCTCTGAAAAATGGGATTAACATTCCCACCTATTCGTAAGCTTAGATAAAATGTATGTAAAATATTTAGCGTAATGCCTGGCTTGCAGTAAGTCTTTTGAATGCCAGTCACCAACTGGTGCTGTTGATGAAGAAGGTGATGGTATTACACACCATCTGACGCTTACGAGCTGGGAGACTTCAGACACGAGCCCACCCGACAAAAGAAGATAGCAACCTGCAAAAGCGGACCTTTGCTAACGGCCTGCAGCCTGCCCCATTGGGGAATGCACCTGTGAACGTGCCCTGCGCTCTGCCAGCCTCACTGTAAACACTCAGAATTCCATCTCCGATTTCCTGCATCTTGGGACAGGCTGGCATCTAGCCCGAGCTCTGGACAGCCACATGGAAAAGCATTCGAGGAGGTAAAAAGAAGAACTAAAGCAAAAACAAAAAGCAACCTGTGAAACAGGCAGAGAGCCTTTTCTTCACTCCTTGAGGACAGAGTCACCTGCATCACTGGGAGGCGGGCGAGTCTCTCTCACCCACATAGGAGCAAGCTGCATCTCTGTGAGGTTCTGCGCCCTTTGCCATGACGGAACAGCTTCTACATATTCTAACTGGACTCTTTTGGCACTGCCTCGCCATCTATCGTGACAACCACACAGTAGTAAGATGGACACAAAGACCCCAGACTCTGCAGGGCTAGTTTGCTTCAAAGAAGACACAGACAAACTGCAGAGGAGAAGTGGAATACAAAATCCAACCAACATGTTAAATCTCCTCCTTGGACGCAGGAGAAAGGCCAGAAAGCTTTCTGGTGAGAGGCGAGGAAAGATGACTACCAGTGGAACGTGTCCACTCCCTCCTTGATCTCCGAAGCATCACACCAAACTGAAAAGAGTCCCACTGCAAAGGCCACACTTATAGGGCCCTAGCTGCTTCCATTAGCTCTCTCTCTCTCAAGGGCCGAGATACCCAGGGCCTCCCCACAAGAATGGATCTGCAAGCCACCCATCGTGGGTCCACTTGGTGGGAGACTCAGAGGGGGAAGCCGTGACTCCCTGCATCTGGGCACTCATGCTCAGGGTGGAACAGTGAGGATGGCAGATGTCGAGGAACCCTCGGAGCCTCAGCAGGACAGCCCTGGGGCTTCACATGGGGGAGGCAATGTAAGCCCACCTGAGGGGCGCTCTACTCTAGCGGGGAGAGATCCAGTCTGTAGGACCACAAAACAAGAGAGCTGCATTGATCGCAGCAAGTTTATACGTGGTGGAGTAATAGGAATACATCTTTAGTGTTCTTCCCTAGAAAAAGAAAAAGAAAATACATTGGCCAATGATAAATTATTTTGAAAATTTTAACTGTGTGTACAAAATCTTTCTCCTTAAAAGCAGTAGAGCCATGGAGCTTTCTGAGATGAGTACAGAGTAATTAATTGTACTTTATTTTAATAAGCAAGTGGCTGAAAAATTATTTTCTATAAGGATCAAGAAGAAAGTCAAGAGAAGTTGATTGAAAAGTCTGCAGTTTGGCTCACAGTCACGTGCTACCGTTGGTTTCTTAGTGCAGACAATTGTATCCTGGACACAGAAAATGTTAGTAAAAGGGAAAGTTGCATGAGTGGATATAGAAACTCTCTGCCTTATCTTTGAGATTTTTCTATAAATCTTAAGTTATTCCAAAATAGAAAGTTTATTTCTTTTCTTAGTTATCTGACTGAGATGGAAAACATATGATGGTAAAAATACATGGGAGTTTTAAAAAAACTTCTGTTTGAAAGATAAATCTGGGCTTATGTTTGAATGTGGTCAGAAAAAAAACCTGCTAACTGTAAGCGTCACCATTTTCAGAGTTATTCATGGCACCTAAGTATACTACATTGAAATGACAGTAAGCAAACAAAATCCAACCAACATGTTAAATAAACGCTTGTCTTTCCAGCATAATTTGGTTTCACAAAAGATGGCATTTCTGGGCTAAGATACGTGAGGGAGAGGATGACACCAGGCCTAAAACCTTGTCAATGTTTCAAGTCTTAAAAAAATCAAATATAATTTGTGGTTTAGATCTATTAGGATTCTTGGCTTTTTTTTTTTTTTACTATTTTATTTATTTGAGAGAGAGCATGAGGAGGGGAGGGTCAAAAGGAGAAGCAGACTCCCCGCTGAGCAGGGAGCCCAGACACGGGACTCGATCCCAGGACCCCAGGATCATGACCTGAGCTGAAGGCAGTGACTTAACCAACTGAGCCACCAGGCACCCAGGATTCTTGGCTTTTGTCCACAACCTGCAGGAGTGTTTCACACCCTTTCCTCCCTACTGAACCCTCCGAACCTTCTCCCCTCCTCACCCTGCTTCCTAGTTCACTGAGAAAACAGAAGAAATAGAGCCCCCAAAAAGTGTTAAAGTTAAAATGTAGTAAATCTCCCAAATCTGTGCAGTGTCAAAGATTTCTACAGACTTAAGTAAAGGCTCTGTCCCTCACTGGCCAACTGATGGGGGCATATTTTCCATGGTGGGTCTCAGTTACCATGGCTAAAAACAAGGTCCTCCAGCTCCAACATTCTATGACTTATCTTAGGAGTCACATCAGGTAATCCATTAAGACGACCTTAAAGGCCTAAATTCCATAAACCAGCCAGAGGCCATCAATGGCTTCTCCCACGTAGACCACCACTAACCCTACCCACTAAGGACCATGTAATTGGATCGTGCCTCTTGGCACGTCCGGAATTCCATCTGCTGTAAGCCACAGGCAGAACCCTTTCCACTGGGAACTTTTATCAATGGAAATTCCTGCTGCCCTTGGTCCACATCATTCTTATCAGCTGACCCTTATGTTTTGAAATTTGTCTTCCTCGCTCTCGATGGGATCTCCATGCTGACTTCTCACATTCATTCATTCCATGTAGATGCTGCTTTAACCTGGGTTACATTTGTGTATTCATATCTAACATTTGTAGACTCTGTATCCAGAGGCCATTTCCTACAGGTCGGAATTTTTTTAAGAATAGGGTAGTAATTAACAACATTTCAAAGCATGACTGTGTGCTATGCTCTACACTGAGCTTCTCCCCAAACTTCCATCGCGGAGATTTACTTACTTTCTCCAAATGAGCTTTACTTATTAGAGCTCCCATGCTGGCCGACGGATCAGAGGGAATGCCAACTTTCCACATTCTGGTAGCTTCTACGAACTTCTCCAGAAATTCACTATAGATGCTCTTCTGGACAAAGATTCTGCTGGTACAGAGGCAGATTTCACCCTGTCAAGAATGACGCGTGAGGACAACAACAAGACACAGTCCTTCATGGGCAGGTCACCCTGCATTTCTGAGCACCTACCTGCCCGTAGCACGGGTCTCAGCCATGGGAGACACTGATCAACAAAACAAAGTCCCACCACGGGGAACACACAGTCTTTTTTTTTTTTTTAAAGATTTTATTTATTTATTTGAGAGAGAGAGAATGAGAGAGAGCACATGAAAGTGGGGAGGGTCAGAGGGAGAAG